GTTCAGCACAACCTACAGGAGGAGAGGCAAGGCTTGAGCGAGAAGCAGGAGTCCTGTCCTCAAATAAAAGCCTTGTCAGGACGTGTTGGGAGCTCAGGCTTTATCCTGAGCACACGGGGAGACAGGGAGTGGCATGGCAACGCGTGTGTTTCCACACCGTCCCTCTGGTGCAAGCGTGGAGAATGGCCGAGGAAGAGAGGGGACAGAGGAGGGAGGAGGAGGTGGTGGGAGAGACCTCAGGTTGGCTTGTGTCTACTTCCCACCCGCTTCCTCTGGCCTTGGCTGGCCTGGCTGTGACACCCGTGTGCGGGAGTTACGACGACGGCTACGTTTGTTAGACGTGTCCTCTGTGCCAGGTGCAGTGTGGGGCCGTGTGCATGCTGCAGCTTATCTAAGCCTCCTAAAAACCCTAGGAGGCGGGAACTCTTAACCATCTACATTTTACAGATGAGCGGACGAGGCTCAGGGAGGCCAGGTGTCTGGCCCTGGGTCCCAGCTCCTGCATGGTCACACCAGGACCTGGGCAGAGGCGCGACATATTCCAGAGTTCCTGCTTTTAGACGCAGGAGGCCTTGCCTCCCGAGAGGCCCACCCCACATACCCCGTGCTCCTCACCTCCCAAGATGACCACCCCCACATACCTCATGCACCTCACCTCCCGAGAGGGCCACCCCCCACACACCCCATGCACCTCACCTCCCGAGATGACCACCTCACACTTACTCCATGCACCTCACCTCCCGAGAGGACCACCCCACATACCCTGTGCTCCTCACCTCCCGAGATGACCACCCCACACACCCCGTGCACCTCACCTCCCGAGATGACCACCCCACACACACCTCGTGCACCCCAGTGGGCCTGCACCCGGTCAGTCCTGCAGCAGAGACCGAGAGCAGCCACGGCCAGTGGTCGTGGGCGAAGTGCTGTGGGTCCCTGTGAACAAGCTGCAGACTGCACGGAGAGGCTGTGAGCCTGTGGGAATGTGTAGACGCCCAGGGCTGCCTCACCTTGGCCTGACAGAGGAGAATTGGAGCAGGCTCTAGTGACCTCCCCCCTGCTCCCGTGGAGGGGCCTCTTGGAAGCTTCTAGAACTCCCCATCCACGGAGGAGCCGGGAAGGTACACTTCCCAGAGGCCGTTAACCCACTCCCTGCTTCACACCCTGCTTTTTCCCAGAGGGAATGCAGAGCCCCACATCTGGGCTGGGAAGGGCTGGAGGGTACCCCAAGGTGACTGGAGCACAGATAGGCTCGGGTGGGAAGGGCAGATTGTCATCTCCGATCCGCCACCCACATCTAGCCCACGGTAAGGAGCAGAGAAGTTACTCTGCTGGGAGCCAAAGTGCAGGCCTCTGATCTGGGCGCTACCACCGAGAGCGGTAGCACCTCAGTTTCCCCACTCGACAGATGGGTCCTCTGCCCCCGCTTTCTAGGCTAGCAGACCCCACAGCTCTTGCGAGCCAGCCGGCGCTCTCTCTCTCTCTCTCTCTCTCTCTCTCGTCACTGAGTAGCAGGCTGTCCCTTGGGTTGTCCTGGCCTTAGGTGGAGCGGCTGCCTGTCCACGCCAGAGGAGCACCCTGCACCCCCCACCCTCCATTCATCTGGGTTTGCTCCTGGGTTGGAAGACAGGGCTGGCTTACACCTGCAGCCAGGCACTCTGATTAATTTATGTTACATCATTTTACATTACCTGGCTCCAGGGCCTCCAACTTGACATGCAGATTTATGTAAAAGAAACCTGACATGCAAATGAGCCTGGCCTGCCACTTGTTTTAGTAACAGACAGGGTTGTATCCCTGGTGCCTCAGCCCAGCTGTTCTTCCCCAGGCCCTTCTCCCCTGCCTCATCTGCTCAGCGTCCAGACCAGGTGAGAAGTCAACTTGGCAGTGAGGTTAGAAAAAAGGAAGGAGACCAGCAGGTGACATAATCGTTACATTGCTTGACGCTCACATGTCCGACTGCAGTTTGAGTCCCAGATCCAGCAGCTTCATACTCACACTGGGCACGTGTGCGTGCGTGTCCAAGATCTTGAAAGACGGATGGAAGAGAAGGGACTGTGTGTGGCCATCTCCCGAGGGGTGATTTTTTGCTTTCTGTCTATCTCTGTGTCTCCGGTGAACACATACGCCCTATAGCAACAATCTCTCTAAAAATAAAAGGAAAGAGAAGATGGGAACAACAGTTACCATTATGGCTATGTTGCTGAACTCCCTTGTAGCCAATTGCGGTTCGCGTCCCGGACCCGGTGGCTTAAAACTCACGCAGGGCGCGTGTGCGTGCGTGCCCAAGATCCCTAGAGAATGGAGGAGAAGGGATTGCGGCGTGACCATCCCCCCTGGGGGGTGATTACTCACTTTCTGTCTCTCTGTCTCTCTCTCTTTCTGGCGAGTGCACGTGCCGTATAGCAAAAACCTCCAAAAAAAAAAAAAAGAAAAAAAGAGGAGGTTAGGGATACTCCTTCCCCAAGGAAACTTTCTGTCTTACTTGTCTAGAAAGACACAGGGAGTAGAGAGAGAGAGATACACCACAGAAGAGAGGGGCGGACAGAGAGGAAGGTGGGGCTCAGAGGGCCGGGCGGCAGGGCTGTTGAGAATATAAGTGCAGATAAGGTGGGGCAGCGAGATAGACAGACCAGTCAGAGAGGCTGAAAAGCAGAGATCGAGAGATGAGGAGACACAGAAAGAGAGGTGGGGACACAACGAGGGGGCAGCCGGGGGAGCGGGTGGATCCAAGAAAGGAACAGATTCAGGGTTGCTGCGGAGGAAGGAGTGAGGACGTGGCAGCAGCCTGGCTGCGGGGAGGGAAGTGAGGGAGGACTTGTGCTCATGACAGCTTGATGCTGGGGAGTTGGGAAGCAGGAGTCACCAGCGGAAGTGACGGGCCAGATCTGTGCAGAGAGACCCCGAGCTGCCCTCTTGGAAGCCCTGGCAGTGGCTGGGCTGCTTCGGCAGCGAGGCCGCCCACCTGGTAAACCCTCGTTTTCTGTCTGTCTGATGCACGCACACCCATGTCGAGAGACGTGCACAGCGGGTGGAAGAAAACATTCAAGACCAGGAGGCTCCAGAAAGCAAGCTCGAGGGTTTATCTGGCGCTGGACACAGCAGGGTCCGTCCTCGAGGAGAGGAGACTGGTTCTCTGCTCTCTCCCAGGGTCCAGAGGAGAGTGCACCTCAATTCTCCCATTCCTCCCACCGGCCTGTTTCAGCACCAGGATGCACCTCCACATCGTCTGAGCCAGGCTCCCACTCTCCATCCCACGGGAACAGAGGACCAGGCAGAGCTCTGAGTGTGCTCAGCCTGCACATGAAAGCGAACAAAGGAGCCGGGGCGAAGGGGAGCCCCCTGCACAGCCTGTCTAGGGAAACTACTTTCCGGGAGAGCGAGCAGGGTGTAGGCCCTGGGTGGGTGGTCTGAGGCTGCAGGGGGAGAGGGCTCAGAAAGCTCCCTGAGGCTTTTGGAAAATCTCCACTCCCCCACGTAGGCACTCCAGGGAGGGCACAGGAGGGGGCGTTTCCTAGAACCTAGGATGGCAGCACTGGAGGGGTTCTCCCATCCCCAGCCAGTTTCACCCTGTTACAGGAGAGGTAACCGTGGCCCAGAAAAGTTAGTGTGAGGGCGGGCAAGCAGGCTTTCTCTTTGACTAAGCAGCTCTGCCTGACTCTCCCCTGGCGCTGACGACTCTGTTTCTGTGATTCCCCTGAAGAGAGGGTGGTGTGTTTACTGAGACAGACGAACTTGGCACACTTCGTGGAAATCACAGGCCTGACCCCCTGTCATGTTTTACTGATCCCTAGGAAGACCCAGGGCTCAACTTGGGTCCCCTTTACCATCTCACCAGCTCGCACCTGCCAGGCGCTTGCACTGCCCTGCCCCCACCGCACTTCCAGGAGAGAAAGTCAAGGAGCTGCTGGTCCCAGTGGCCGAGTTACTGAACAGTGGCGTTGCCCCTGGCAGAGGTCTCCCTTTTCCTTTTTAATTTTTAAATTTATTTCTTCATGAGCGGGTGTGTGAGAGAGACAGAGAGGGCAAGCCAGGTACCCCCAACGGAGTTTCGATGCCAAGATCTACCCCCGGCTCTAGCCAGCCCCGGATCACGAGCACACATGCCCAGCACACTCAGGGAGGTCTCTGGACATGAACCCGGAACCTTTTCATGTGGGTCAGCCTCGCAGACTGTCACGTTTTACCAACTATGGATGTTGGCCCCAGCAGCGCTCTCTAAGGTGTAGTCAGGGAATCCAGGTCACCGCTAGACCCCACCCTCCCCCAGCACACAGTCTAGAAGCAAGGGCCAGCCGAGACCCGCCCGGTCTGCTCTCTCCAGCAGAGCTCAGCTGGCTCCGCTCTGGCCCAGTCCTTTGGGTCACTCCGGGCAGTTTCAAGGTTCCCTTCACCTCTCACCCAGTGGTTCTTAACCTCTTGGGGTAAGAGATCCTCTGGAGACCATGGTCAGCACCATGGAGGTTCTCTCTGCAGTAATGCCAGACCCACAGTACCTCACACGCAGTAACAGGAGACTCACAGATCCCCGAAGCTCCCAGCCCAAGACAGACCTGAGCTCCTCTGGCATCTTCCGGTTTTGGGGAGCCAGCGTCTATATGTGGTGGCCCCAGGACCTGCCACCTCAGAGGGAAGTTACCTGATAAGGTGTCCCTGCAGGACACTTTGCCCTGGATGCCTTCTTTCTTTTTTCTGCCTCAGAGGTTCCTTCCTGAACAGCCACTTCTTTCACGTTGAGGTCCGATCTAAGCCACCCCTCCCCAGTTACACATGGAGGCAAGCTCAGATGAGCCACCGTCCACCCTCTCCTATCTCCTTTGCAAGTGTTCTCTGTCCCCGCCCAGCCCTCCCACTCAGTCCCTGAGCCTGAAGTGTGCTCCATCTCAAGGCCGGGCTCAACCGAGCTCCAGGTCCAGGGGGCACCAGAAGATGAGCAGAGGGACTGGAGGTTGGCAAGTCTCTTCTCATTGGACAGCCATGTTCTCAGAAGAGGGCCTCTGAGGGCATGAGTGGGTGGGAGGAGCAGAGAAGCTGGGAGAGAAGCAGGGGCAGGGTGGGAGCAGCCAGGTGGGGCCAGACCCTGCGCACTGCCCTGCCCCATCTGCACTGCTCTCCCAGAAGCCAGGGCTAGAGGAAACGTGGGCTCCAAGCTCTGGGCTGGCTGGAGATGTTGAGAGGCCTCTGTGTGCGGGGGATCCTGGGAGGGCTGTAGTCCCGGCGAGGCCAGGCAGGGCAGAAGCATGGGACGTTCTGTGCGGAAGGCCCAGGCCTTGGGGTGGGCCACGGCTCAGGAGAGTGAGAGCGGCCTCCTTGCCAGAGAGGGGTCTGGCTAGCCCAGGGTGGGCCAGGCATCCAAAGTGCCTCGGATGGAGAAAGCTGCTTAATCTCCCCCTGGAAATCAGGAAGTTGGAACCCACACGGCTGATTACGGGGCCAGAGGAGTGATTTCAGAGGAAAGATTAAAAGAATTAAAGTCAGCACGGGAGGGAGTGGCTGAAAGGGAGCGAGGGCCAAGTGGGGACTGCAAACCTCTGCACCCTGAGCCTGGCCAGGGGCCTTGCAGAGATGGGGGTCTGTGAGGTGGGAGGGAATACCTCGAGAGAGCTCTGAGCGATGCAAGAGGCCAGCAACGGAGCTGAATCCTGGCCTCACGTGCAGGCAGAGCAGTTACTGGGGCTGAGGGAGTGCTCTGTGTGCCTACAGGGGGCTGGGCTGGGTCCTTTCCACTGTCCCTCTCGAGCCCAACCCTCGGGCTACGCAGGAGAGAAGGTCAGTGTGTGTGGTGGATGGGTTTTCATTAGCAGAGTGCACAGAGGCCAACCTGGGGCTGAGGGACGGGGATAGGGGCTATTGTCCCACGAGACCTTAGGTTGAAAGACAAGGGCAGTCCTGGTAATGGCCTTGTCTTGCCCCAGGTTTAAATAGGAGGACAGCGGGGGCCCAGGCAGAGGTTCTGGGGATTTCTCTGCTCTGCTGTGTGCTTTAGTCACACACGTGCACATGTGCACACACACACACACATGCACTCACACACACACCGCTCAACCGTGCCTGCTTGCTCTCATGTTCTCTCTCTCTCTCTCACACACACACTTAAACATACATTTAAATAACTTGCAGACGTATATTAGCAAAAACATTCCATCTGGGCTGGGATTTCTCTCATTGCTTTGAATTCCCCTGAGTCTTAACTTGAAAAAAAAAATAGGAAGAGGCAAAGATTTGACTAATGTTGGGTTAGGTTTTTTTTTATTTGGTAATGTTGGGTTTAGTTTTTTTTTTTTTTTTTTTTTTTACCCCTTTCTTTCTTGGTTACTGACTGCCAAGAATTTATGTTTGTAAAAGGGAAAGAATTAACTGTGTTGATTAAGAGGCAAACTCCCTGGAAATGTTCTTTCTTAACCCTTTGATGCCCTCTCAGTGAGAGATATGGGGGGGTTCTCTGGCATGGGGCTCGACATCCATGGGCTGGAGGCCCAGAACCTTCCAAGGGGCTGCTTCTCCCCATAGAGAACGTAAGAAGCAGAGGCCGGCTGGGCCCGTCTGGCACGCGAGTGTGTGTGTTTCTGAGCAGATGTGTAGTAAGTGGTGTGAGTGTGAGCGTGAATACTGAATCCCGGTGTGGGAGAGGGGTGTGTGTGAGCGTGGTGACTGAACATGCGTGTCCCTCCACAGATGTGGGGTATGCTGGCAGTCTCACGGCCTGCTGGCTGCACAGGAAAACCCCTGGAAGGCGAGGAGACCTTCACCTTGACCAAATCAGCAATTAGCGGGACCCAATTTGGCAAGAGCTTAGCACAAAGCAGGTAAGCAAGGCGCGGGGAGGCTTTAGCCAGGAAGCAGGCTCTCTCCCGCTGTCTAGCAGCTGTCACCTCTACCAGAGTCACCACAACCACGCTAACCCCGGACAGCAGTCGGCACTCTCGCGTGGGGAGCGTGGCATGGGGGTGGGCTTTTCCTCTTCCCTGCCCAGGCTGAGCCTCACGTACAGTTTCTTCTCCCCTTTGTCAGCTGCCCTGCCCCTCAGGAAGAAGGCTCCCACGCATGGCTGCCATCCGAGAGGCTGACGCCTCTGCAACGGGGACCTTCTAGAGCAGGGGCTGAGGGATCTGACTGAGGAAGGGGCGCCAGGGGAAGAAAGAGAAGAGAAAAGCTTGCTGGAGGTCTTGGGCTTCCTGGGTACACATCCAGCCATACTGAACTATTTTTTGGTTTTTGGAGGGGGAAAATTTTTTGCTATCGGGCACATGCACTTGCCAGAGAAACAGCCAGAAATCCCCCCCCCCCCCCCAGAGGAACCCCCCCCCCCCCCCCGAGGATGCCCGTGCTGCAGTCTCCTCCTGGGATCTTGAGCACACACTCAAGCACGCCCTGCATGAGCTTGAAGCCACTGGGTCCGGGACTCAAACCATGGGCAGCCATGTGAGTCCAGTGACATAACTATTCTGCCATCTACTGGCCCCATCCTGAACTACCTGCATTCGTGAGCCCCATGCTCAGCCTCCTCCTCGACTGCACAGGCTGTTTGCCACCACCAGGAAGGACCTTCTGTTTCTGCTCTGGTTCTGAGAGACCACCTCTTCAACGCCCCTCCTTCCATTGCTCCCTGGGGGTAGGCTTAGTCCTCCCCACTCTCCCTCTCCTCCAGGCCTGGGAGCTCCAGCCCCAAACCTTCTGGTTAAGCAGAAAAGAAGGGCTAGAAATGAGGACAGGGGCAGTAAGTCTTCCTTCTCCTCACGCCTAATTTCTGACGTGACAACACCCGGCCACGGGCGCTGCCCACATACGACTCTCTGTGTACCCCTCTCTCCTCCCCGCTCGGTCTTGGACACCTCGAGGGTGGAGACACAGGCTTTTTCACCCCCAGTGTCCGGCAAGCAGCATGGCTTAACGAGTGCTTGCTGAGGTGGGAGGCCCTCGGCGGCCGGAAGCAGCATTCGTCACTTTCCGTGCTGCTGTGTGCAGACCCCCCGGGATGCTGCTCATGAACCCCGAGATTAGCCACACATGTATTCGATGTTCTCGATTTTCTGCAAGATCCTCAGGGTAAGAATTCAGAGTTGGTCATCCTCCGAGCCTAGCACAGCATCAGACAAATAGTAAATGCCCCATACATGTTGAGTGAAGACCCGGCGCCTGCTGAATACCCAGGAACACACAGAGTCAGCTACTGTGGCTGCCAGGCACTGAAGGCTGCAGAGCAGAGACTGGGCCATCACTGCCAGGTCGAGAGGCGGGAAGAGAGATTCCCTGAGCACCTACTGTGTGCCGGCTCTGTCCCAGGACTGCCCAGACATCTGGTGTTCACTATTCCACTCTCTTCTTGCCTCTGTCTTCCGAGGAAGCGGCACGTACTCAGCTGGCTCAGTCTTAGGAAATGGCGACTAAGAGAGGCTCAGTGGCTTGCCCAGCGTCACCTAGCTGGCATGGGCTAAGCTGGGATTCAAACCCAGCCTCGTCCGATCCTAGGGCTTCTGCCTCTCCCACCACGCTGTGTCTCATGAAGGACGCAGATGCTGACCAGGGCGTGAAAGGTCAGAGGGACAGGACTCTGCAGAGAGGGATCACAAGCCCAGGCAGGTGGAGAGAACTGAGGGTTCCCAGGAAGGATGAAAGCCAGCTCTCTGGATCCCCGAGCTTACAGAAGCTTCTGTGTGACCAGGAAGCAAGGGGAAAACCAGCTTGACATGGGACAGTGCAACCGTGGAGGGAGGCAGGAGAGCAGAGAGCCGTCAAGGGAGGCCTCTTGAAAGAGACCTTAAGCCCAGTCTTGGCAGGGGGTGGGATTTCCAGAAGAAGCCAGCACAGACACAGCGCTCCCTGGGCTAAGTGCTGCGCTAAGACGGACTACCTTTCGTTGTTAAGGCAAGGCTGAAGGGACGCCTCTGTTACCCGCAGATACAGATGGGGAAGGAGGAGCCCAAGGGCACGAGACAGGCTAGTGGGGGTCGAAAGGTCTAGTCCCTGAGTCTGTTCTAGTGTGGTTCTAGCGTCCAGTTCTTGGTGTGGCGCCTGCAATCACCACTCCGAGGAGTGTGGCATAACTCAGCCTCGGGGCGCTGGGAGAGGGAAGGGGGCTCCTCCAGACGTGCTGGGGAAGGGCGCAACCGCCAAGTTGGGAGTTGAGGAGGTGCGGCTCCCACACTTTGTCCTGTCTCTGTTTTTTCGAGGAATGAGGAACCGAGGAAACGCTCTGAACCATGTTCAAGAAACACGTCTTCCTGCCTTGGGAACGTCGGGTCTGTCTTCCCCGGGACGTCCTACACCTTCCCACCACTGCAGGGCGGGCTTCTGCCACCAGGACCACCACCCCAGCAGGAAGTCGCCTTAAACACTCCCTCCAACAACCCTTTACTTGGGCACAGTCACCAAGCCTTGGTGATACACAGCCATGGGGCCCGCCTCACGTCAGCCCCGTAAGGCGGGCAGTTCCGAGGTTCTTAGACCCGTTTCACAGAGGAAGATGAGAGACGCGTCGTGACTTACCAGTCAGACGGCTGGGAGTCACATGGCCTACACTTAGCGTTCCAGGCAGTGGGATCAGAAGGTAGCCAGGATGGGGGACGGGACGGGGCGGGGTCCGGGTTGATGTAGCCGAGGATTGGAAAGATTTGGCTGAGTGATCGCAGCTCCTCTGTGCCCAGAAAGTCCCACTTTGAGTCACCTGCCTCTCCCCGCCAAGACAGCAGCACCTGCCCCGCTGGGCCCTGCTGAATCATCTCCCTTTTGCTGCTTCCGCAAGGTACTCTCAGTCAGGCCCTCTTTCTGGCTTTCGTAGGCTCTGACTCAAGGTTCGTTTCAGGTAGGCAGTATCTGTGGAAGCTTCTGGTGTAGGGCCTACGTCTAAGTAAGAGGAGGCGTTTGGGAGTTACTGTGAAAGAGCAGCACCCTGAACAGCATCTGACCTCGGAGGAAAGAGGTACACAGGTCTACGGTGGCAGTGGTAATACCCAGTTACATAACCAGGCCAACAATTAGAACTTGCGTGTCTGTAGCACCTGTTTCCAAAGGCCTTTAAGCATTTTCAAGTTTATTAGGCTATTCGAGCTAATAAAAATCCCACAAATGGGTGGTGATGGTTATTATTCCCATTTTATGGATGAGAAAACTGAGGCCCAGAACAATGTAAGTGGTTTGCCCAAGGCCTTCCAGCAAGGGAGCAGGGAAGTGGGCCTGGACCTGTCCTATTTCTTGAAGTCTCTAGATGTTTCGTGTGTGGGACTCCCTCTTGGTTTCTACATTCCTGGGAGGTAAGGTGTGGACAGAGGAGGTGGCTGGGAGCAGACTCAGAATTTTTCTGCACGAGGTCACTCAGAGACCGTGAGTCAAGCACCCTTATTTTAAGGTCAGTTTCCTCTTCGACTTCCCCAGACAACTGCTGGGAGCGCGCGCTCTTGCGAACCATTCTCAGATCAGGAGCGGAGGGTTTTTGCACAGTGGCTGCTGAAGGTTTTATTTAATAGGAGTGCTGATCTGAAAGAGGTCAGTGTTTTTGTCCTGGGATTCCTGCTTCCTGGTCACCATGTCCCCAGGCAGCAGTGGGGTCCTCCCTCTAGCCCGGATTCTTACTACAGCCTCCTCGCTGGTCCCTGACTGCAGCATCCTCCCCGATCGATCTTCTCCATGACCACCCTCTCCATGGCTCATCGATCTTCCTAAGGCCCCCCGCCCGCTCCCACACACACACACATACACACCTCTTGGAAATTGACAGCGGAATCATTCTTTCCAGCCTCATCTTGGCACTCAAGGCCCCACCCCATCAAGTCCATACGACTGTCTCACCCTTGACTCCTCCCCCTTGTCCTCCTCGACCAAACGCTGTCTTCAGCAAGGCTGGAGGACTTGCCTGGACATGCTCTTTGTTGCCCCAACACTACAGTTCACTGCCATATTATTTCCTTCATCTACAAATCTATACCCACATTCTCGCCTCCTGAAATTCTCTCCATCCTTCCAAGCCAGTGGTGTGACCTTCTTCATGGAGTTCTCCTCGATTCCACCACCAGGAAATGATCTCTCCCTCCTGGGAAGTCTCATAGCACTGGGTGTAGAGGCATCTATACAAGCAGTTCTCGGCTGTGGCCATGGTGTAAAGCTCAGGATATTTGTCAAGCTACGATTTCAGAAGTCTGCAGTAGCAGGTGTGTGCATGGGTGTGTGTGTGTGTGTTAGTATGAAGAGTGAGCACAGCTACACAGAACACCTGTATACCAGGAAAGGGTAGAACCCCTATTGGGTTTGGAGTGTGTCAATCATTTCTGCTCTGCCAATGAACAGAGAGCCAGGCATCTCTCTCAAAGGAGTGAGAAGACTCACGATAAAATCTGTAAACACGCTTGGAGGAAGACAGGATAGAAGGAAAGAGGAAGGGAACGCGTGCTTATGACTCATCTGCTACATTCCAGGCTCCGCATTAGAGAAGTTTCGCTGCTCACTTAGCCCTCACAACCTCTCTGAGAGGTCAGAATCAGTGGCCCATTTCGCGGATGAGTACTGTCGCAGGCCCGGTTCCTCCCTGAGGAAGACCTGGGAGCATATTACTCGGGGAGTGGTGGAAGCAGGACTGGGCGGGTCCAATGGCCTCCGCTGTCCCGTGGGGTGTGCCGAAGCTTTGGTGGCCCTCTCAGTGATGTTGCCCCCTGGAGGAAATGGGACCGTGTCCTTGTGCCCCAGGGACAGGGACATAACTTGGGCAAGATGGCTGTCTTCTGCCGAGGAAGCTCCTGGGAAGACAGTCCCCACACTGCTGATCAGAGGACTGCCTGCCTGTCCAGGCACTGCCAGCACGTGACCGGCCTGTGGTTGAACTCAGCCTGCATGGTCGCAGAGCCCACCGGCTTTGTCCTGAGATGCTGAGTGACTTCCAGCCCACCTCGGCGTCAGCCTGGTCTCTCAGTGCTCAAGACGCATTGTCAGATGTGGATGAAAGACCAGGACAGGAGATCGGTCTTCCCTTTTCTGAAATATCTCAGGTAGATCTTATATCAAATAATAGCAAGGAGAAGGAAGATAAGGATCCTCTGGTTGCTGGTATTTTCTGGTTCCTAGGCCCTTCTGGAAACGTTGAGGGTGTGATCTAAGTGTGGCATTCAGAATACGTAACTGCTGCTTAAACGCCCAGGACCCACAGTAGAGACTGGCAATATGGCGCATGGGCATCTAACTGAAAGCGGAACTGGTGGGCTCCAAACGAGGCTCCCCTCAAGCCCCACGTGCCAAGGAAGAATCCCCGAAAGGCTTCAGAAGGCACAGCTGAGAGAGGCCGGTCTCCTGATCACACTGAACGTCGGGCTGGCATCGGGGATGGAGGTGGTGATGGAGGCCCCAGCCTCTCCTCAGAGCAGGCATTGCAGGCTAGCTCTATATCCCCCTCGCAGGAATGTTTGCTACCTGGAATCTGCACGTCTCTGCGCATGGCCCCAGCCTCACTGCTTTGTGCCTCAGTGTCCTCAGTTATAAGATGAGCGTTTTCTAAGCCCTGGTTCTCCCTGCAAGAGGGGAAGTTGGTGAAGGCCCTGAGAAGGGGTGAGCGAGCCAGGCCAGGGCCTCCTCCCGACTCTAAGCAGGGCAGCTGCCCTCATATTTGTTTATGCCTCCATACGGTTTCACTTAAACCCAGCATTCCTCAGCTAAAACAAAGCTTGGGAACCAGCGGGTGCATATGATACCCGAGGTCCCTTACGCAGAGCTCCGACATGCTTGGCTGTGGGTGAGCAAATTGGTGAACGAACGAGTGAAGGAATGAACTGTGTGCCCTGCTAACACAGGCCAGTCCCCGGCCACACCTGTCCTTGGCGCGCTTGGCCAGCTGTCCTGGGAATATGGGAATTCACACAGGGATAGGTCAGACTCTACCCCCGTGAAGCCAGCTGTAGGATTCTCTCTGCACCGCCACTGTTGAGCCCTCCTCCCGTCAGGCGTCTCACATGGCGCCAGGTCTGAACTGGAAGGTCACCAGCGGCCAGTCCTCTCGCATTGCCTCCTTCGACTCTCCCACTCCGTTGACTCAGCTGCAGATCCTGGCAACAGCAGCCCGAGTCACTGGCAGGTTTGACAGAGGAATCACTGGGTTTTGTCGGTGTGTGTTCCGGGCGCGGCACCAGGTCTGGCTGGCTTTAGTTCCCTTCCCCCTCAGGGAACGGGCTCCCAGCTCCCCTCCTCACTCCTTCCTTATTATGTCCTCCCTTCATCCCTGTCAGGCAGTGGTTCTCAGCTTTGACACATCAGAATTGCGTAGGGAGACTAAAGAACGACTGATGCTCAGAGATTTCAATTTCTTGTTTTGGGTGTGGCTTAAGCAGTAGGGGTTCTAAGCCCTTCCCAGGGTTTAGAAGCCAGGAAGGGATAGAACACCTATTGGGTTTGGAGCATGTCAATCATTTCTGCTCTGCCAATGAACAGAGCCAGGCATCTCTCCCAGTCACTTGCAGTCAAGGTGGAGAACCCCTCAGCGGGTTCTTAGCCCTGGGATTCAGATATGCCTGCTGGGCGTGGTGAGTGTGAGGCACAGACACCTCTCAGCAGTGGGAGAGAAGAGAGAGAAGTGCAGAGATGGACCCCCCTCCACTGTCCTCCCCACCGCCCTGTGAGGCTCAGAGAGGTCAGTCTGTGGGGTGTGCAGGTGACAGGTGTGACAGCAGAGAAGGACACATCAAGGGCACCAGGCCAGCAGCAGAACATGCTGCCGTTTGGGTAGCTGCGGGAGACAGCGCCCTGGACCTGGGCAGCGGCATCTTCATGGGGCACGCCGGCAGCAAAGCCCACCCCTGGGTGACTGTGGGTGGTACAGCACTGACGAGCAGGACAAGGTGGGAGGGGGACATGGTAAGGCACAGCCTCTCACATGACGGTCCTAGACATGAACACGTGGGGCACTCCCTGGGGTCCACCAATGACAGAGAGCCCTTGGCAGGTGGGAGCAAGCACAATGAAATCTGGTCACTTCATCGATAGGAACCCACCTGGACTTGATGAGACGGCGAGGTCCGGGGGCACTGGGGTCACAGCTAGAAGCTCACACATCCTGAGCAGTACAAGCACTTGGGTCCCCATCACAAAAATGAAGCTGTCTGGGGAACCAGCAGTTAGCGTAATGGCTATGTCGCTGGACTCCCACGTAGTCGACTGCGGTTCGTGTCCCGGACCTGGTGGCTTAAAACTCACACCGGGCGCGTGTGCGTGTGTGCCTAAGATCCCGAGAGGAGAATGGAGGAGAAGGGATTGCGGCGTGACCATCCCCCCTGGGGAGTGATTTCTCGCTTTCTGTCTCTCTGTCTCTGCCTGTCTGGCGAGCACACGCGCCCTACAGTGAAAATCTCTCAAAAAAA